TTTGCGTTGCAATATAGTCTATTGCTACCACCAATTTTTTTTGGCAATTTACCTTATAACCACGAAATTGCTGTGTTGCAAATGCTATCTACAGAAACGCCTAATTGTGTGGCAATAGTTCATACTGCCACCAAATACATCGTTCCATAAACTATTTATTGCAATTCCTTATTGCATTGCAATAGGTAAATGTTATTGCAACAAACCAAAATACCGTGGCCCAAACTTTAGACCACGCAACTTCTTGCCACGCCTCCCAACAAAAGTTTAGAGTTGCAATAGGCGCTATTGCAACCATTTTGGGCCTATTGCAAGGTTTCAATGCAGTTGCAATAGACCCAAAAAATTAGTAGTGTCCAAAAAAACTTATTTCCCGCACACTAGAGCAGGTGTCACACACGGGCATTCCAGAGGCCTACTCTTCCACGCACGAGATCAGAAGAGGGACAACTCGGAAGCAGCAGAACACAGAGAATGGCACGGTGATTTCTGTGTCTTTATGCTTGAGGCTATGGCTCTCGTGCTCTCTTATGGCCACAATTGAAGAAGAGACGGGGACTCGCTGAATACACATGGACATTGCGAAGTTAATGGGATGAGGGAATAATCGTGGACCTTACACCCATGGAGATTACTACGGGCAAAGGATGGGAGTTATCTCCTCAGTAACCGCTCTGATTACTCCATCAACCAGCCCATCCCGCACCATGTCGTGGTGGGGTCCAAGTCCTTGCATGTCATGCTCGCCCACACTCACACCATGCCAAGGCTTGGCCCAGCTTGGCACATGCGCATGTGGCGCGGGCTTGTTTGTCTCAACTTCACAACGAGTGCACACCCAGGACACCTATTTGAGTCAATATTTAGTCAAAATCATTACACCTAGCATTTAATATGAGCTTTAGGATATATTTGATTCAATTGAAATTAAAATGGACCAAGCCCAAATTAAATCCAACACATTTAAATGGGAAATAAAACTATCTAATGCTCATAGAAATCAATGACAGAATTGCTACACATCCGCTTATGCATTATCCTTTCTATATAATACTTAAAAGCTACAATTGATCATGATATCTATAATATAAGTTAATGTCCTGTTAAGTCTGTATAGAATTAAAATACAATTCTAATTGATTGTTTCGTAGTAGCGTGCTAAACTGGTCAAGCGGTAGAGCTGCGGCTTTGCTCAGGATCGCGTGAGGCTACAGAAGAAGAGACATCTAGGCTCTTACACTACGGCAGATGCGTGCTTTGCCGAGTGCAATTGCACTCGGCAAAGAAGGTTTTGCACTCGGCAAAGCCTTTGCCGAGTGCTGCACTCGGCAAAGAGCTGTCGGCATATCCCTTTACGGCAAAGGCTTCTTTGCCGAGTGCCGGAAAAACACTCAGCAAAGATTTACACTCGGCAAAATGAAAATGCAAAAAAAATCCAAAAATAATAGCAAAATTTTTCAAAATTTTTTTTTCAGGGGGAGGCCGCCACCAGCCAGCGCCCGCCCGTCTTCATCTAAGTCGGTGAATTTTTTGCGCTAAATTCGGGCTAACGCGGCCAGCGGGATTCGAACTCACGACCTCTCCCCCGCGTGTCTGCTGCTCTACCACTGCACTACACTGTCACTTGTTTCTAGATTCCGTTATCTATCCTCATATATTATACTAAACCGAGAGTAAATTGCTTGTTTGAGGTTCTAAACGAATTCAAATTAAAAAGTGGTCAACTAAAAAGTTTCATAACTTTTCGAGATCTACAATTTTCATTTAGGAAGTTTTTCCATCCGAGGTCGTTTGAAAAATTCGAATTTCAAATTTTAGAGATTCAAACGTAGTTTTGCATGATAAGATGATTTCAAATCAAAAAGTTGTCAACCATATAGTTTCATAACTTTTGGACATCTACAATTTTCATTAAGGAAGTTTTTCCATCCGAGGTCTTTTGAAAAATTCAAATTTTAAAATTTTCAAATTCAAACGTCGTTTTTGCATGACAAGATGATTTTAAATCAAAATGTTGCCAACTACAAAATTTCATAACTTCTCAAGATCTACAAAGTTTATTTTGGTCATTTGTTCATCCGACATAGTGGTAGTAACATTGTTCGTAAATCTTATATATCTCTCTTCTACTTTTATGAAACTAATATGAGAGATGTAGATTTTATGAACAATGTTATTGTCGCTTTGTTAAATGAAGAAATGACAAAAATAAACTTTGTAGATCTTGAGAAGTTATACAACTTTGTAGTTGAAAAGTTTTTCATTTGAATTCATTTAGGGCCTAAAAATTGCTTTGAAAAACTGATTTGCCGAGGGCAAAAAAAATGCACACGGCAAAATGCCTCTTTGCCGAGTGCCAAAACAAAGGCGCTCGGCAAAATACATCTTTGCCGAGTGCCAGGAAAAAAGCACTCGGCAAAGACGCATTTTGCCGTGTGCCGAAAAATAGCACTCGGCAAAGACGCATTTTGCCGTGTGCCGAAAATAGCACTTGGCAAAATACATCTTTACCGAGTGCCAGAAAAAAGGCACTCGGTAAAGACGCATTTTGTCGAGTGTTTTTTTGCCGAGTGTATTTTATTTGGCACTCGGCAATCCGGTAGTGTTAGTCATAGGTTTTCTTAACAATTCCAACTGGCTTCCAATTCCACTACATACTTGGTGGTACCACGAGCTGGTACGGGATCTTTAGAATATTATTACAGAAATACGAATTTAAAAAGTGTGTATAACAATATAATTGAAACTCACTCAAGTCATATAAGAACAAATATTCATTAGATGAATACATGGTTGGACAAAAAAGTTAAATGGATGATTATCAACTAATATTCCTTAGATAACTGATTTACCTATGGAGCTATACAAAACTGCTGTTTTATAGAATCCCTAGCCTTGTGACTATAAATTATGGCAAAGATGTTGCTGTCCTTTCCAACAAGAAGTATGAACATTCATTTTGTGGTTTCTTATAGCGCCACATCATGTAAAGAGACTGTTGACAAATGAGTGAGGGCCTCCGATATACAATGTCACACTCTGATTTTATATGCTAGTTGTAGCATTTAATTGTTGCGCATTGTGTTATAGAACAAATTGATCACAGTGAGGTTCCATTTTTGTTTTCCAAGCCATAGGATGAAGCGATTTGGTCAGAATGGCTTTGAGTCCATTCTTGGGGCATACATAATTGTCTATATCCTCTTTCATTGAGGCATATGATGATGTGATTTGGACACATATACTAGAAGTAGCTGACTTTTGTGTGAAAATTCATGGATAATATGGGTTTCTTTAACAAAGCCACATACAATGCGACACGGGTCTATCACTGCTGGATTTTAAAATTAACTGGCAGTAATAGATAGCTATCACTGCTGCTTGGTAATGAAAACCGACAGTAATAGATATCGCTGCCAGGTTGTATAAACATCTGGCATTGATGACCCCTTCTCCGATCTAAAATTTTAATTCATCTACCCTACTAATGCACCATCATTTTCATTGCTAAACCCACCCCCACAAAACATCCCCACTGAGAAGCCTCCATCTATCCACCCAAAAAAGTGTACCCAGAAAAACAACATCCTAGAAACAAACAGTCCAAATTGCTTGTAAATCTTCTCTCTCCTTACTCACTCAAATCGAACGGCCAGGATGGTGTGTATCATCCCTCCCATCTCTCACGCCCATGCCCTGCCCTCCACACCCACTCCCCGCAGTCATGGTTCATGTTGTCTTTCTTTTTTTTCGTCTATTTTTGGTCGAGCGACCACGGAACCACGATCCACCTCGCCGACGGCCTCCTCTCCCCCACGCGCCGATGGCCACCAGGTCGCGTGCGTCCAGGACACCAAGTGAGCCACATTAACAAGATGGGAATCGACAAGAATAAACAAAATCACATAATTAAAATCTAATTAGGGTGCTCAACTTGATGGGCATCGAAAATAATTGAAAATATAATTGATTTTGCATCCCTTATTTTCTGAATGATGATTGGTGAGTGAGGAAGATCATGGACTTTTCTCAGATGGCTGCATGTACCGTGGCTGCCGCCAACAAGCGCGGCTGCAGGGGACCATCCTCGGCTTCTCTGCAGTGGCCTGATTTTCTGCAGTGGAGATTGGAATCGGAATTGGATATTCAAGGGTGCAAGCGTGCAACCATGCATGGAGATGCAGAGAGATGTGTAGTTGGAATCTAGAGATGGCTTCTCTGCGGCTGCAAGCGAAGCAAAATGATTACAGCGTGTGTGTGATGCTTTGGATTTGTGGGGTGCAAATGAGGTGGAAAATCAGGATTAACAACTGATTTTCACTTTTTTCCTGGGTGCGGCTGCACCCACGAGTGACAATTTGGATCTGCCCCTGCCTTCGCTCTGATGGTAAGGGATGCCACTGTTGGTGAACGGGTGCGCGATTCAAGCCACTGAGGTGAATAGAAAGTACTTAATTCTGCTTTTGACGTTTGGTGTTTTGGTGGTACATCAATTTCAGATTTGAGGTTCAGTTGGATGTCATTGTCTTTTCGTCTCATGTTCCTAGACAAGCAAAGGAAGACAAATTGCTACATGATTGGGCCATCGATGGGTTAAATGATAATGACACATGGATGGATGTATAAAACTGCAACCTTATGATCGAACGATGAAGAATAATAGTGGTGATGTCGCTTGTTATGAAAGCAGCTTCATAGTAATAAATGAATTTTGTGGCCTTCTTTTTATAGGTTATATAGACACGTCGACCGCTGTCGATTTACAGTACGAATATGTGACCGATTTTAACACATTGTATTAGAACACTTGATATATAAGCCACAGGCCAAAACCATATTATAACTCATATATAACTCAACGAACCAGAATGTTATAACATTTGCACACATGACTACGCACTATTGTATCTACCCCTCATTATTATACATATATAGACATGGAGAGATGCGTAAGATGATACAGAAGCAAAGCAAGCAACCATGCACCGAGGTGCTAGTAGCTAGGCAGCTGCCACCCTCCTATAAGCCACCAATACTTTTCCTTTGGGCGATGCCACTAGCTTGCTCCAGTCTGTCCCAGGGAAAGGAGACTCCAAGTTGAGCTCAAAATTTCTAAGCAAATAGCTCCATATCACCTTGATTTGCATATACCCAAATGCTTCCCCGACACAGCTATGCCTTCCACCACCAAACCCCGTGAAAGAGAACTTGCCACCAACTTTGTCTTCCACTCTGTTCAGACTAAACCTGTCCGGGTCATACACACCAGGGTCCTTGTAGATGTAGGGCAGGTAGTTGTTGAACAGTGCAGGGCTTACAAGCGTGTGCCCTCCCGGATTCTCATACTCAGCGCCGTCTTTGGTCCGCAGCGTGAAGCTCTTGTGCACCTTGCGAGGAAACAGTGGTAACAAAGGGTGCATACGCAGGGCTTCCTTGATGCAACGGCGCAGGATATCCATCTGTAGCAGCGCGTTGTAGTCTATCCGGTCCCCATGTGTCCTAGTGATCTCCTTTTGCTCCTCAATGGCTGCTGTCAGCCACTTACCATTGGTGAGCAGGCGAGCTCCGGTCCAGGTGCTAGTGACGGAGGTGGTGTGCTTTCCAAGAAAGAGCAGCATGATGGCGAGGCCAGTGACCTCCGCTTCGGTTGTGGGGCGGCCATCCTTGTACCTGGAATCTATCAAATTCTGTAGAACATCCCCTTCGGTCCGGTTTGAGCTCTTGCGTGATCTCATGACCTCAGTGAATAGCTTCGAGAGCTTGGCCCGTGCTCTGTCACGCCGGCGGTTCGTCGGAGTTGGGGCGTAAGGGAACAAGACGCTGGCTAGACTCATGCCGCCGTTGAGCTCACGAAACAACGTGTGGACCTCGTCGAACATGTTCTCCCGGATCTCCCTCCCAAGAAGGCATCGGCTTGAGATTAACATGAGTAGTTGCTCAAACTCATGTTTTAAATCAACTACACCCTGCTGGCCCCATGTTGCAAAGTAATCCTGTACACGTCATCGTTCAATCAAAAATTAATTAACAACAACTCTGTCGTCGTCAGTTTAGATTAATTATTAATGCCTCTTTCATTTCATGTAGCTATTATGTAGAAGCAACAAATTAACATGTACGAGTAGTCAAAAAAGAGCTAGCTAGGTAGGGATACATGCATACTGACCTCTACTTCATGAAGCATTGGATCCATGTAACTTCGTAGCTTTGACAGTTTCAGTGCATCATTGTGGAACCGCATCTGCTCATTGCGGGTGGCGAGATCTACACCAAAGCCAACCTCTTTCCCAATCATGGGCACAATGAAATCCAGCGTATTACCATGACTAATCTCTGACTCTAACCCTTGAAAAAAATGATCCAAGACCTCAGGCCCAACTAAGAGTGTAATGTTCACTCTGAAGAATCTTAAAGTGAACACACTCCCCAACGCTCTATATTGGTCATGAACCATTGCTTGCAGACCCTTGGTAAGGCCAACATGCACAAGTTTATTAGAGAAGCACCATTCACAACTGGTGGACGAGCCCTATTACATACTGGCTGAAACGTAGCCCTTCTTCCGGTTACAATAATCTTGGTCACTACTGCGGTGATGAAAATAACAACTACGGTAGTAACCCATATGGCAATATTTGTCAAATCCATGCTGCTATAACAAATAGTGGTGGAGCCAAATACACTGCAGCTTGGCAAAAGGATATGCTGCAAGAATAGAGCCCTTTTACAGTACTTGAAATTGCCTCGCGTTGCCTCCCATTGCCTCCATAAAATATTAATTATCATCCTAAAGGGTATGTTGGTCATTTCACGTGCCTATCACTACTCGCCGCGCCCCCTCCCCGATCCGCGCCTGAAGCCGTTGTCCCGACTCGCCCTCGCACTCGGCATCGCCCGACGCCCCAACCCTCGCACGCGTTCACCAAAGCCGCCACCGCCGCCGCCCTCGCCAGACGGCGCGGCGCCGCTTGCCTCGCCATCGCCTGCCTTACCGCCTCGCTTTTACCCTAGCGACCGCTCCTGCTCTCTCCCTCCCTCTAGCCGCCGCCGGAGCCTTGTCGCGACGGCGGCCCAGCCGCGCCGCTGCCCCGATCCGCGCCCGAAGCCGTCGTCCCGACTCGCCCTCGCACTTGGCATCGCCCGACGCCCCAACCCTCGCACGCGTTCACCAATGCCGCCACCGCCGCCGCCGCCCTCGCACGGCGCAGCGCCGGCCTGCCATCGCCCGCATTGCCCCGCTCTTACCCTAGCGACCGCTGCCCTGCTCTCTCCCTCCCTCTAGCCGCCCCGAGCCTGCGTGACGGCGGCCCAGCCAACCCAACGCCCCGCCCCAGCCAGGGGGGCATGGTGGTTGCCTCCGTCGCTGCCTTCGTCGAGTCCGCCGGATTCCCGTGCGCCCTCGCCGCCCTCCAGTCCGAGGCCAGCCTCGAGGTACCAACTCCCCTGTAATCCGATCACATGATGAAACCTCGAATCAATTTGGTTTGTGTTCATTCTGATTCCATTCACTACTCTTTCATATGGAGAAATCAAGCATATTTCCTTTGTGTACTAGAAAACCTGGGGCGCGGCGTTGCTGCGCCATGTTGAGCTAGCCCGTGGTGATTCTACGTGGGATTTCTAACGTTTAGAATTTCTTTTGTTTGATGTCTAATTACTTTTGTATCAGCGAGGGCAAGGAAATGAAAGCACCTTCGTAGCAATAGTGTAAGGGTAAATATGTTTGATTATTTATTCTTCTATTCTTAAAAAATATGCTTTCGGTTGAGATTGCAAAGTCTTTTTGCTTCGTAGCATACATTAAGCTCTGACATTATGTAAGTGAGAGTAGAGGAAGAGAGAAATGCAATTGTTTTCCGATGACATTTGACTCAAACTGAGCAGAAAATGTTGTGTCTACTACCTTGAAATTCTATAGTGTTCTTTAAACTACATGATTTGAGGCGTCAAGATCTCACAAATGTAAAATTACGGTGCCATGAAATTTGCTTGCTGCAATGTAGATAAGTTCCATGTAAGGAATAAAGTGGTACTTTTTGTGCCACAAAAGTAATATGCATACTCCATTTTATTTGTAGGAGACTTTGATAGATTCATCACAGTGCATCTATCTCAACAGTTGCGTGGACACAATATGGCATATTCCTCCATCTTGCGTTTTTTATATTTTGGGGAACTGATAGCTACTACTACATGTAGGCCTAATTTAGAAAGTCCAATCCCTTCGAGATCCCGGACTTTTCCCTGTGTGGGTAATCCATGGAGATATCATTCTAATTATCATTCTAGTTCTTAGTGGGGGGTTTTCCATCCCTGAGTTTTGCTCCCTCTTGCTTCCAAAAGAGCCCCTAATAGTATAGACTCCTGTTCAAGTAACAATGATAATATGCTTCATAAGCTCCACCAGGTTCTCAGATCAAGCATATGAGAATGTCTCCTCTGATCTGTAAATTTGCATAGAGTCAATACTAAGATGTGAACATTTCATATTAGCTACAACAACTGGTTGCATACAGTGCTTACCAAAAAACATCACGGCATATCTGATGGCTCAGAAGGTGCACTGAAGTATATGAGCATGTCTCCTCTGATCTTTATATTTTACAATGCTTACCAAAAACATCATGGTATATCTGATGGCTACAAAGCGGTACTGAATATGTGTGATCCAACACTATTTGTCTTGGTGTATTTGGTGGGCTATATGAATATGTTGAAAAGCAGCATGTCTTTGGGAATTGAAACCACTGCTAATCAAAACCGATGAAGTTATTACCGTTGTTGCCTATTAGTGAGACATGCATATATTCACTGTCGCTGCAATTTGGTCATACATCCAAGGAACATGTACTGACTGTAGATTACCTTAATAAAAAAAATTTCTATGTGAAGTTTGCTTGCTCGATCATCTCATTATTTTGTGTTATGTTGAAATCATAAGTTCATGAAAGCTTGCTCTAAGTACAGGCTTAGCAAAATACAGCGTGTCAGAATAAAGCATAGGTAACGTAAAGAGTATAAACTTTAAGTTAGTAACAAATTAAAAAAAATAGAATACCAAAATGGAAATACCTTCTTCGGTTCTGCAAGTTATAGACTGTGTAGTGATATGAAAGACATAAATAAACTCGATTTTATGTTAATTTAAGTGCTAGTCTGAAACCATTCAGGTACTTACTGAATTCTTTTATATTCATCTAAGTGCTCTAGTTAAACCCCTAAACCAAAGTGCTCTTATGTTAATTTCAGTGTGATGTACACCTTACTGACATGAGAATGCTTGTAGGTTGTAGCCATGTTAAGGTAAGATAAAGGCAATTAAAGAACAAGTGTTGCCCATTTGCAATAAGCACCAGTGAGCAACTCCTGATGACCATGCTGAAATCTAACCTACTAACTGAAAAAATAATAATATCATCAAAACTGAAGTACGAATGTGTGTAGTACCATTACCAAAAAATAAAGCAGTTGGATTTATAGAGTTGAGTAATGCAGAATTAAAGTACATATATATCACTGCAGTACTGCACTCTGCTCAATGTCTGCCTGCTGATTCGTGCTCATTACATAGATTTGACGGCGGCCCAGCCGCGCCCGGCTGCCCTCCCCCAGCCGAGAGGCTGCATGTGGTCGCCTCCGTCGCCCGCCTTACGTCGAGTCCGCCAGATTCCTCGCGCCCTCGCCGCCCTCCACCGAGGCCGAGGCCAGCCTCGAGGTACCAACTCCCCAGTAATCCGATCACATGATGAAACCTCGAATCAATTTGGTTTGTGTTCATTCTGATTTCAAAATTGTTTTGTTGTTAATCTGCATAGTTTTCATATGCCTCTTTGCGGTGGCTGCTTCTTTTAATTAGGTCTATATGCAATTTCACATATATCATTTTGTTTGAGTGACCTTGTGGTAAACTGTTCAAATAATTATCGGACTATCAAAATATCTCAGTATCGTTTGAGAGAAATAGGATCAAAGTAGGATCTTGCTTCTTCGGATAATTCTGACATGTCAAGCTCATGCGGACAAGGAATGCTCCACTGTCTTCTTTGACATGTGATCAAGTAGGACTAGTAGTTAGCTTTTATATTTAGGAGATGAGTGGTATTTGCATATATTAATATTGCAACCATATCAACAATTTCAATACATAATCAAACATTTCTTAGATTTAAACGTAGAACATGGAAATCAATTATTCATCTAGGATATCCGGCATGGGAAATGCATGTTGGTAATAATGGCACATTTTGGTTAAAACATTAAGCAACCTGAAAAGGACCTGCCTCAAATGGTACCAACCAATCTTAAGCAAAGAACTTTCAGTTGACAAAGACTGTAGTGGTTTGAGTGTCTCTGAACCACGTAAAATCAATTATTGGCTTATGAGCCACCAATAATATCATCCATACACTTCAAAGATAAGTAATCGTTCCCCCACAAAGATATCCATGGTCTCACCAACTTTGGACTGTTGTTTAGTCAAAAATCAAAACATGACCTTTGTTTTTTTTGAAATCTTTGCTTTTTTATATTAATAATAAGAAGAAAGGGAGTCTAAGAAGAGTATAAGACTTATACAAGCCCATTGAGGAAGGGTTTAATACATGGACCATGCCAAGTAAACAAAAAGGAAAACGACCACCAACATATACATGCAAATGCCACTGCTGTATTAGCTTCCATACTCCACAAGATGGTCTCATCCCTTGTATCTTGCATAATGACATTGAAATTAGGAGAGCTCACCTCACAGAAGCATCCATTACTGTGCTTCCATAACCACCAAGCGACCAAAATTACTAATGAGTTGAAGCCTTTGCAGTAGGGTCCTTTTGCAGTATTGCTTTACACTTACCACGAAGGTTGAAGCCACCACTCAGTTAAAATAACATCATCTGGCCGTGGTGTTTGTTTCTGAAATGTGAAATGATACCAAGGTCTTCTTGAAACTGAAAATCCCTGTTCTTTATCACTACAGTACGTTTGAAATCTGAAACCGCATGCTTAATTGTTTCTGTAGGGGATTATCCTATGCTTCCCGATAAAATCAACCAAATAGTATTGTGATGCAATTACTTTTGTGTGGAAAAATGCGATCGGACTTCTCAACCCAGTCATCTGGCAGTTAACTTCGGTCTTTTGTTCATGTAAAGCTTCACTAGTCATCCGCACAGACACCTCTAAATAACGCTACAATTACTGTCCTGGGCTCGTTACAAGCTATGTTTGAAAGGTCCCTCAGTATAGCTCTGTCCTCGGCCCTATGTATATCCTTGAAAGTGTCATAGGTATGATCTACTTTCATTCAGGAATCAAAATTTTACTCTGTTCAGTGATTTACAAGCTGTGACGACTGACAACATGTGGTGATAGCATAAACCAATTTGAGATATTTATGAAGTTTGTTACAGAAGTGTTCTAAGACACTTTCATCATGCTGTAGAGATTGTCAGTTAAGGGATTTTACTAGTGATGGCCAAACCATGTCAGTGCTGTGGTGTGAAATGCTACTTTTTTATAACCCCACATATCGCAATCATTCCTGAACTTGACCATCCTCTTGAGGATCTTTTCAGTATCAATCCATGAGGCCTCATCAGTCATCACTGTCCCTGGTTGATCTGCTGTACAGATTACTTGGTCCACATGATTCACATAAGCCTTTTCAAACTTTATGCACAAACAGGGTGACAGATTAAAAATAAGTGAAGCATGTGGGAGCTTGTTAATGTAATGATATATGCTAAGATAATCCATGTGATTCCAGCCATCTGTGTAGTAGGCAAGGCCTACTTGGCTAATTTTTTAGTAGATAGGCAGTACTGTTGAATCAGTCCCTTGATCAAGTGTAAGCTTAAACAAAAGACTGATCTCACTTGGTTGCAAGTGAGTGAACATGTGTGTGTGTGACCTTGCGTGGGGCTGAAGGTGTTCTGCATAAATTAAATCGTGTCCACGTGACAACCTGTATGGTGTTTCCAACTAATTGGATTCAGCTACATGTGCCCCGTCAGACATGCTGCCATCAGGATACACTTTGATCATCTCCCACTAGCTGGTTTTGATTGGCGATTTGGCATATTACTAGTGGCAGTAGATCGTGTGAATTGAATATTCAAGAGAATGAGAATTTGAAACTTCAAGTGCAAAGTGATTTTCAATAATGAAAACCTGTGCATCCTAATGAAAGCTTCATTTTTCAGGAGGAAATGTCGGATGATGATTCTTTGCTGGAGTATAGTGAAATTGTTATGAAGATGTTTGGCAGTGAGGACGACGGATTTGAGTTTTATAACAACTACGTTTATGAGAAAGGATTTAGTGTGAGAAAGGAATACTGCGAGTGGGA